ACGTCTGCAGCGAAGCCTTGAGCGTCCGTGTACTGCCCTTCAGACATCTTGCTCTGGGAATACAGAGGAAGAGTCATCCAGACAACAGAGAATTGGGGCTGCACCATTTAGAAGAGTTCAACTAATAGTGATTATTTATTTATTTTTGATATAATATGATCAGGGATATTAAGATAATCATTTCAACATATAATAAATTAGAATAGTGTGATTTTTCTTTTAGGAGGACCAAAGATGTGTTTGTCTGTAGCTTAACCTTTGTAGGTTTCTCTTTACCTTATTCCAAATAATATACATATTTTTGTTTAATATGATTTTTTAAATATATTTTTCCTTTCCTTAATATTACGCATAGCCTACTGTGATTTGGATATTGCACTAGTCAATATTAGAAAAGGGTATTTTTATTTGATTTATCCAACATTTTGAAATGGTTTTGTCCGAGGCGCATGTTTACAAGACATTACAAAGTAAAAAAACAACAAGAAAAAACAAAAAGATTAAATAGTAACGTTATACATATTAACATTAGAAGGAAAAATTGTAGAGTTTTTTATAAACTATTAAAAATATACAGAATAAGTTAGAATACAGTGTAAAAGACCAATTTACTGGTAAAAAAACAAACATGTTTAAACATAGGATACTATATAAATATATACATTTATCTATACACTCTGTATATATCATACAAGTGTGCATGTTGCAGTTCTTTTTAAATCTGTTTCGATAACATTAAGATGACGTGTGCAGCTCTGGTGTGATAAACAGCTGATACCTTCACTGTCCCGAGGTCCATGGGGTATTTGATGATCAGGTGGTAGTCGTGGAGCTGCAGAGCTTCAGCGTCCACCGGCTTGTAGAAAGGCCAGGCGTGGGCAACATGTCTCCTCGACAGCATTTCCTTCAGGATGTCGCTGCAATACTGGAGCTGATTATTCTCTTCACTTAATTCCTGTCCGAGGTCTGTGCTTTCTCGTCTCCTCTTGCCTCCTGATAAATCACTCAAACTGGTGAAGCCTGCGGAGGAGAAATCCGAGGGGGAGTCTCTTTTCCGCTTCACGTGCTTCTTCTTCATTGGCAAACAAAATAATAAAAGAAAAGTCATAACTCAATTCATGATCTGTGATTTTTTTAAATATTACAATTAAGGGGAAAGAGACATAAAGGATGACTCACTTTTAACATGGTGAGTGTAGGGTGTTGGGCTGCGAGGGGGGGGCTGGAGGTGGTGCAGCTGAGGCTGGGCTGAGATGTGGGCGATGCAGCCGTAGAACATGTGTCAGCAGTCACATTCTCCCCACCTGCATTACACGCAGTAAACACCATTTAAAAAGGAAAAATGTGAAAAACAAGGTAAAAGAAATAAAAAAGGGCCTTATTGATTTATATAGGTTTTAGTGCATGTAAATGTTTGTAGCCTTTATTTAACCAGGTGAAAATCCCATTGAGGTCAACGACCTCTTTTTCAAGGGAGACCTGCAGCACATTGGTTACACATAAAAACAACAGAAAACAAAAAGGACATCAATACAACATAATTACAGGGGTATACATTAGCAACCTATTCACAATGACAGATGTCTAATAACATGTCATCTATCTGAGCTTTAAAATGATGCAAGGGAACCAAAATGCTCAGTTTCAATTTGTTTTGCATAGTGTTCCAAGCTAGTGTAGCAGCACACATCAAAGCTTTAGTACCTAAAACAGTCCTAGCACTTGGCACATGTAATAAAAACACATCCTGGGATCTCGTAAATGGTCTGCAAAAGCTAGACTCCCAAAGTTCCCGAGCATAATATGTCCTCTTTAAGTCTCATGAAAAATATGATCTTGTGTTGAGTAAAAAAAAGAAAGGTGCAATGATAATCTTTGTAAATGTTCAGGATCATTTCAGTATGTCTGTTGTTGCGATACTCATTTCAGCCACTAGAGGCTGCACACCGCTCACCCCGTCTTCTAAATAGGACAAATAATGAAGGTCTTGTTCTATAGCCATAAACAGAGGGGAGTAAAACCTCTTCACGTGAACACATTTATGAGATACAAATTCCTCCTCCTTCAAATAACTATAATAATGTGAAGCATCTGTCAGTTACCTGGAGTGCTACTTTTCTTGCCCTTCCCTTTGGCCGCCTGTGGAGAAATCTCCACCTCTCCCTGGGGCATCTGGGAAACCTTCTGCAGGAAAACCTTCTCCACAGCGAGGGCCATCAGCACGATGTCGTCAGTGGGCTGAAGACAGGAAGAGGGACATCTTTGAGGAAATGGTTTCTGTGAGGCTAACCAGGGTAGTGTTGTATCTCCGTTCATAAGCTCCTCACCTTGTTGTAGATGTAGCAGTTTGTGAACATGGTGTTGAAGTCTTGCATACAGTCACTTGCGCTCCAGTAGAAGCGGTTCTCAAGTCGTTGTTTGATGGTTCCCAAATCCATTGGAGATGTTATAATTTTATGGTAGTCCTAATTAAGGAGAAAAGAGTACATTTGTTAGATGAATAGGGTGTTCCTTGATTTAGTGCCACATTTTTAAAAAGGATTGGATGATTATCATATATCATTAATCCGTCCTTGCAACAGGTATAATGATATTAAAATAGCTGTAGAAGTTTTTTTGTATATATAGAAAGGCAGATTTAGCATTTCTGGGTTGAATAACTTAATAAATAAATACACACGTGTCGATTTGTTTGTTAGTAGTCATGTGTCTAACATTTTAAAAAGGTTTCTTCTTCCAAGATCATTTTTGTTTATTACAATATAGATCACATTTGTGTCGTACATTCCAATATAATAGGCAGAGATCAGGGAATAGGGTGACATTGTAGTCATTAAAAACAGGTGCACCGTCAAGACAATTACAAATATATTCAAATGACTATGGATTGAAATGGATGGATATGCTGGTTGATGTCGCCAGGGAAAATAAAGTTTGGGGCTCTCTGCTGGAACTGCTACCCCCGCGACCCGACCACGGATAAGCGGGAGAAGATGGATGGACTATGGATTGCTACTAAATAAGGATTTTTGGCCGTGACTCTGAGCAGCACCACAATACCTCATTCAGAATGTCAGTACATATTTTTGCTTTATTGAGATTTGGATATTGCACTAGAATTCTGTTCAGCCATTAATAAAAGCATGTTAAAAAAGTTTGAAGAACATTAACAAACTACTCACTGGTAGTCCCAGAGCCACTGCATCAACAGGATGGTAGAAAGGCCAGGCGAACTGGTGCTTCCACAGAGATTTGATCACTACATTGTGCAGGTACTGCAGCTGGTTGGTCCTCCGGCCTGGAGTGCTGGGGTCCATCACTTCAGGGGGCGGAGGATTCACGAGACGTGGGGGGTGCGTGTTCGCATCTGCTGACATGATGACGCCAGGCTGGGCTCTGATAGGTGAACACAGCCTCCCCTGGTGTCTGCTGTCTCCTATGAGTTCAGTATTTTCCGTATGTCAGGTCTTCAAAGGCCGGCTCACTTCATTCATAGTTTTCATACAAGAAAAGGTGATCTGTGGATATTAAAACAGAATCACATCATACCTATGGTCCAATTGTTTTATTTGGATGCAAATCAGGGATGCTGGAGATGTGCCCTCTAAAAAACTGAAGGTCAGTCTACCTTATCACATTTAAGTCTGACAACAAGCACAGACCCAACAAACACACTTCTTACCATAGGAACATGTCAAAGTTGAACTTTGTATGCAATAGGAAATACATAATACAGCTTTATGATATTCATGCGTTTCATTTAATGTTAAAAGACATAATGCAGCTAGACAAAAGCCATTACTCTTTGGACACATATATCTTATATTACTTTTTTCATCTGTTGTTTTAATGTCAACTAGTTGTTATTTTATGTAAAACAAATGTAGCAATGTGTTATTTGAATGACAAGTTATAGGTAATTGATAATACATGTTATTTGTTCACTCAATAAGCTTAATCAGTTGCAACAGGTAATCTATAGATATTTACACTCCGTTTAAGAGATGTTATACGATGCGTTGCTCTATAGGTAGCGTTTGCCCAAAGTACTGTAGAATTACAGCAATAAGTAAACCTGCTAACTTTAAGTTATTGACATTACACGTTACATTTAACGCAACAAAAAGCAAATAACTAGCTTGACAGGTTTTTAAAACGGCTGAAAGTGTCTGAGTAAACGTTACCTGTGATATGCTATAACTAACCCAGGTGTTGTTAGCTTAAATGTTACTAGCTAGCCGTCGAAAGAAAACGTAGTTCGCCAAAAGTAAGGAATAGTCTTACCATAACTAAGTTGCATAGGAAGTTGCATACAATGGTCAAATTATGCGTTGTTTGTTTTTTAGAACGTCGAGTTTCAGAACTAAGTTTTCACCATGTGTTGTTTTGAGCAGAGCTCACCTTAATGTTAAAAGCTACGTTATCTGTCATCTTCACACAACTGAATGCGGGAAAGTCACGTCGCGAAATACATTGTGGACGAGTTCAGACATTTGTTTACATATATTTGTGAAAATAACGACAATTCTTGCTTTAGAGGCTTCTACACCTAGCACATGCCCACCTGCAAATGTCAGTAGTTACCTCCAGAGTGAACCGTTACACCCACTTTGAAACTGAAAACCTTCGCACTAAAACAAACCTAAGGCAAGAAACGTGCTTTGTTTTTTCTTGTTCCCCGCTCCGATAGCTGCATAGGCGGATAGTAAACAGAGAGGACACTGCCCCCTATGGGCCGGGGTGTATGGTGGCACTCTCAAATTCTGTCCTGTATTAAAATCCCATATTCTATCTATTCAATATTATTATGTTTTTATCAACGGTGAAAGTAAAGTGTTACCCATTGCAGACCAAACACTCAGCAAGGCCACATTAGAACCAGTGCTATACCCAAAGAAAAACAATAGGTAAATATAGTCCAAATTTGCGTTTGACACTTAATTGTCCCTCGTTAGCTCCCGTTACTTCTGAGGATAACACGCATGCGCAGTACTGTACTCACCACCATACACCACATTCCCCGCTTCTCCTCGCAGCCAGCAGGCAAGCATCCAGGAGCGAGCCAAGTAGTTCAATGCGGTCTCCATGATTGTCTAAATAAAAATACGTGCTTTTTCCTGCCAATCTTTACGCGGAGTATCAATCTGATCGCGGAGCAGCATCACATCCCCGTGAGTATCGTTTTATGATCGATTCCTCCTTGTTTGAATGGAGGGCCCATCCGTGGCAGATCAGCCAATTTGTCAACAGCATCATCGATTTAAGACAGACGGCTACATGGTCACACTGCTGTTAGCTGTAATAATAAACAAGTGCATATAAGATGGAGTTGCTATCTTTATTTGTCTGTTTTAAAATCATAAATGTATGCAGTATGATGATAGCTAACGTTACTGTCAGAGTTGAACTTCCCAGCGAAGAGATCCCGTGTCGCCCTTTGTTTAAAATTCATTATTTTCAAATGTATTGTATTAAAACACGAATAAACGTAAATGTGTTTGTCATTTATACCAACTAGTATGTTATGCAGTGTTACCTGACTGCATAACATGTTAATATCACCTTAACAAGGCCAGTTAACGTTAGCTAGCTAGTTGCTAGCTGAAATAGCCACATTAATGGATGACGCTATCTATGCTAAAGTAGAAAGCAACTCGCTTCATGGCTTTTTAACAACTAAAGACGAATACAAATGCCTTTTATTAAAGTCTTTACTGGAAATGATTAGCACTCCCACGGTTGCATTGCATAGATATGAAGTGTATAATGTATAACATAGCTGTCATGGTTGACATGATAAGAATAACATGTCATTGTATCGATGACATGTGGCCCATATTGTACACAACAATTGAAATTCCCTTAAATGAAATGAGGTATGTATCCCTTGGAGGGATTAGTTACTTACATATCAAGTTATTTTTGAGGCGAGCCATTGCAAATATTGTAATTACACATTTTGTAGATGATACCATACTAGCACATCAAAATGTGCTCTCTAGCATAGCTGACTCCTTATAATTAATAATTATACAATGCTATTTGGCTATTTCATGCCAAAAAACAGTATACATCCAAACCGGTTGCCGGCTGTTTTGCTTTATATTGGTTTTCTTGCATATAACATTTTTATTTCTAAACTTATTTCAATATAAATGTCTTCTGTTTTAGGATCGTGCCCAGTTGATGCTCATTTCCTCACCATGGCAACAGAAGATAAGAAACCAGAGACTGACACGAAACCTCCCGTTGTCCAATCGTCATCTTCCAGTCAAAGCAAGGTTAGGATTTCTGATTATAAATGTATGCTGGGGAAGAACATCTGAGAATATTTAACTTGTTTTCCCTATGGTATCATGTTTTGATAAATGTGATTAAATGTGCTGTTTTGTTTTCATTGATAGTCTGCACCTGGCAAGCCAAACTACAGCCTGAAGTTCACACTAGCGGGCCACACCAAAGCGGTCTCCTCCGTCAAGTTCAGTCCGAGCGGAGAGTGGCTCGCCAGCTCATGTGAGTCCTTTTTATCTTTTCCTGTTTGCTTTAAATCACATATGCGCCACGGTAAATTCGTGCTGCATTTATTTTCATTATTATTATTTTGTATTATGTGCTAACTATTTCTTCCTCAAAAATAAACAAAATAGTCGTTGTAGCGTAAAGGAAAAAGTTGTCACGACACTAAATACATGTTTGTTTTTTCTTGACAGCGGCTGACAAACTCATCAAAATCTGGGGCGCGTATGACGGCAAGTTTGAGAAAACCATTTCCGGACACAAACTTGTGAGTGAAACAAATTCATCATATTTACTGCTGCACATTGTTTTAGCCTTTTTGGTTATCTTTTTATTAATGGGATTGTATTTGTCATGACCCATTACCCATGTGAAGAACACAGGAAGGTGATTTGAACCTTAACCGGGTAACAGGGGCGCTGTGCCCTCTTACTTTTGGCGTGCGCCCTCATACCAAAATGCAGATTTCACAGATCTGTTTTAAAGTGATGCAAGAAAACTATATTTCTGTTCGTACTAGGGCTGTCAAACGATTACAATTTTTAATCAGATTAATCACAGCTTAAAAATTAATTAATCATGATTAATCACCATTCGAACTATGTCCAAAATATGCCATTTATTTACGTATATTGTTGTGGGAATGGAAAGAAGGCGGATATATCCATTTAACATACAGTATCTATGTTTATTATAACATTTTTCTGTGTGTCAAAATGAAAGACAACACACACACCTATCAATCATCAAACCGTGGGGTCTTAATTCATTACGTGTTGATTTCTATCAACGGGGGAGTACTTCAGGAAAGTCGACGGGGGGGGGGGGGGGGGGGGGCGGCGGCTCGTGGAGTACTTCTTGACCACAGAGTGTGAACGTTGTGTTCAGCTGTTTTAGCTCAGTTCTCCAGTGAAGGGGGGGGGGAGTCTCCCTCCGCAGCCGGTTGGCGTAGTTTTGGCACAATTCCGTTGTACAGACCGACGTTAACAGCAGCCCTGTCTGTGCACACGGAGACCGACTCTGTCGTCCGGTGATCTAACCGCCTTCTGGAAAAGCTTCACAAGTACGTCGGTACGCAAATGCGCTTTGTGACACAAGTGACGGTACGCATTTCAGATTACGCACATAACCTGCGTACCAGTTATGTGTTACCTGTACTACAGCAAAAGTATTCTCCGTCGGGACTTCCTGCAACAACACCACGCCGCTATCTTGATTCTGATTGTCCAGAAGACATGATCAAAGATGTTCTATTGAGAAGTCGATCACTACGTGACAAAAGTTTTCAAAACCGTTTCTGGTCTTCGGTATTTCCAGACAAGTGGCTACTGAAATCAATCTTACTAACTGCTGTCTGTGCAATTTACTCCGCGAGTTGGCGGACTTTATTTTGCTTCCTTTAACATCATTTTTCATGGTGGGGCTAAGCCATTTCTTGGTATGGCTGTAGCCTACCCCAGCCATAGTCGCTGCCACTGGTGGGAGGTATGGGGCGGGCCATTCTGCACATGCGTTAAATGCGTTAAATATTTTTACGCAATTAATTAAAAAATGAATTACCGCCGTTAACGCGATAATTTTGACAGCATTAGTTCGTACACAACAATATAATTACTCCAAAAATATGAAACTTGTGTCAAATAGAGCATAAGACGGCATAGACATTTGTTTTTACGGAGCTCCGACGTTGCTACATCTATACAAGATCAGCGCCACAGTATTGCCCTCATACTATATTATTTTTCTTGAAAAACTCCTGGAAACCTACATTTATGTATCCGTTACAATACATCACTTTAGTAGTGAGCTATGGTATGATCCTTGCTGTTCTATTATGTTCCTAACTATTACCCATGATCCTTCAGGGTATCTCTGACGTGGCATGGTCCTCTGACTCCAACCTCCTGGTGTCGGCATCGGACGACAAAACCTTGAAGATCTGGGATGTCAGCTCGGTAAGGGAACGCTTTAATCGACACTCATCAAACTGAGATGATATGGATATTCGTATAACAGGCTAAACCAGCAGATCGTGCCACAGATCATGCACCACCATACATCAGGGCTTGAGAGAATGTCATTCTTTAACGCCACGCTTCTATTCTTCCTAGGGGAAATGCTTAAAAACTCTTAAAGGTCACAGCAACTACGTCTTCTGCTGCAACTTCAACCCCCAATCCAACCTCATCGTGTCAGGATCGGTGAGTAGAAGAAGCTTCTGATATAAAACACGCAGGAAATGGAGAGCAGACATTTTACCAAAAAAAATCATGTGATTGTTTTGCTTCCAGTTTGATGAGAGCGTAAGGATATGGGACGTGAAGACCGGGAAGTGTTTGAAAACATTGCCGGCACATTCTGACCCTGTCTCAGCTGTAAGTTCAGTTAGTTATTAACCCATTTCTAGATTTGAGATAAACCTGTAACAGTAATGTGATTATCTTTTTCCTCCTGCAGGTTCATTTCAACAGAGACGGCTCTCTGATCGTGTCCAGCAGCTACGATGGTCTTTGGTAAAAACTAACTTGTATTTATACATCCACATGTCGACATTACATGTTCACATTTACTTATCATGTCGCCTCTTTTGCCCTCACAGTTGGCACATTAAAAATCTCCAGCTGCGGCCCTTATTAGCAGCTCAGTTTTAAAGAGGCCCGATTATGCTTTGTAGGTTTTCCCTCCTGTAGTGTTATATAGCCGGTTGTTGTGCAAAGGCTAACATCCCCCCCCTCTGAAACGCCTCAATTTGACTGGTGTCTTAATATAGCAGTGGCGAGCCGTGACTTTTATACCTAGGCCCTCTGACACCTCGAAAAAAAAGAAGAGATATTACGTCACAGCGTATACTTCAGCGGAATATCAAAACAGCGCCCGGGGTGCAAAACGCATCAATGACAGCGACCCTCTACCACACAAAACAACACCATTTATATAAACACCTATCATGATAGGGCACCCACAGCCAAGTAACAATTACAAATGAATGAAGTCGGCACGGCGGCCCGCATTGAAAATGACTGATGCCTACCTTTGATGATCAAATCACTCAAACACAAAGTCCATCCTCCTGTCCTTTTGGATGAAGCACTTGATGGCGGGTCATTCGGCTGATCCTTTGCCACTCCAGTTTATCATTGTAACTCAATCTTGAAAATGACTCGGTTAATAATTTCGCAACGATGTCATCACTATCACTGAAGTGAGCCATCATGAACGAACTTATGCTAATCATAAATCTATCGATCATAAATCTATCGATTAGATTTATGATTCAAAAATAATAAAAGTAGGGAAGACATGTGGATATTATCCGGCTGAATAAAACGTGCATTTATCTAACAGGTTCGTTTTCCACAGACCTTATTTCCAGCTATTTTCCAAAATCCTATGGAGAAATCCCATTGCTTTCTGTCGAGGGAATCCGAGCGAAGCTTACTTCCGGGTTTTAGGACGCGTCACTGCACCACTTGCATAGACCTCACAGCGGGCGGAACTTGTCATAAAGTCCGCGAAAATAAAGCCCACCCATTTAGAGGGAAGATATGATTGGTCAATTGTACTGTCATTTGACATTACTCTCTCGTTGAGTTACTATAGCGGGCCCTCTGTGAATGTAGAGAGGGACCAACGAGCCCTCCGGTCTTCACATAACTCGCAGAGACGGCATTTAACCCTTCACATTCCAACAGAAACTGAACAGGCAGATTCGAAGGATTTATTTCTTTGGAAATATTATTTTAAATGAAGTTATTTTTGGTAAAACTAATGAAAAATGTAACAACAAAAAAATATTTTAAAAATGTTTTTTTAGAATATCTTCGGCCCTCACAGAGGGCCCTGACGGCTAGCCACTGTAATATAGTGACGTCACTACATAACAACAACACTTCTATTGGCTAGTGCTCCAACACAGTGTATGTGAGGCTATGGGTCGGGACATCTCTAAGCAGTTGACTAATCACAACAGAGCCGGCCAGCTAACCAATCAGAGCAGACTGGACTCTGGTTTCAGACAGAGGGTGAAAAGAGGTGCTGCAGTATGAGAAAAATAAAAAGCTTTTTGAACAATAAGCATGGAAACATGTCACAGTGGAGGCACTACATACAAAAAGGAGCATAATACGGCCCCTTTAAAATAAACAAAACCTCCAACCCACAAAGATCTGCAGTGTGTTTATATATTAAGTGTCTTGCGAAACAACAAAATGTCATCTTAAAACTATTTATTTTATTTTTCCAGCCGAATCTGGGACACAGCATCGGGCCAGTGCTTAAAGACACTCATAGGTAAGATCACGCAGTAAATCTTGATCTTGTTTGAGTACTGATTCCATTCTCATGTATTTAATTGCAGAAAAGGTTTGGAAATTGTCTTATGATGAGTGCCAAACAATTATAATTGTTTCTGTTTGAAATAAGACATTAATGATGCTGTACTGACTCTACTCCTGTTACTGTGTTCTGATCAGATGACGATAACCCTCCGGTGTCCTTTGTGAAGTTTTCCCCAAATGGAAAATACATCCTGGCGGCTACACTGGACAAGTGAGTAGTAAACTATATGTTTTAATGTATTTAATTTATTTAGTGGTCATTATGCTGTTCAGGGTGCTCATCAGCAGAGGGCAGTATGCACCAGCTGCACTTTTATAAAAACAGAATATACACATCAGATGAAATTATTAAAATGTTGGTGTGTTTTAACACTATAGTTTTTTTTTGTATTCCAGCACGCTGAAGCTGTGGGATTACAGCAAAGGAAAGGTAAGCGTTCAGTTTAAATACTAAATTATTATCTTTTATAATCTTTCAGATTGTTTCTGTTTTTTTAGATTTATGTAAAACAGTCTCATGTAGTTAAAGACATTAAGACCCAAACCGTATTGTATTTAATTTTCTCCTCATTTGTTTACTATTTTTTACTTACCTGCTGCTGATGGTTATAACTCTGATTATCTAATGCAAAGAATTCACTTTTTATTTTTCCTCCAACATTTCAGTGCTTGAAAACGTACAGCGGCCACAAAAACGAGAAGTACTGCATATTCGCAAATTTCTCAGTCACTGGGGGAAAGGTAAGAAATTAATAAAAAGTGTATGGTCTGTTTTGACCTTCATGATTAAATAAATCCTTCCTGGTGATAATGCCCCAACCATGCAGTTTCTCCATTTATATTTCACCACATTTTCGTAAAAAAAGCTAAATGTTGCTAAGCTAAGCGTGTGCTCTGTTGCAGTGGATCGTGTCCGGCTCCGAGGACAACATGGTGTACATCTGGAACCTGCAGACCAAGGAGATCGTGCAGAAGCTCCAGGGCCACACAGGTACAGCACACACACATTTTTAGAATTAGATTCAAGACATCTTATTTGTATATATATATATATAACCGCTGTTATCGACCCCGTCTATTTCCTGTCTCCTACTCAGACGTCGTCATATCGACCGCCTGCCACCCGACAGAGAACATCATCGCGTCTGCGGCTTTAGAAAACGACAAAACCATCAAGCTATGGAGAAGCGACTGCTAAGCTCTTTTTGGGGCCGATCATATTCCTTTTTTTTCCTGTTTTGTTGTAAGAAAGGACTTTTTTCTAAAGGAGAGCTCCTGCGTGATGCAGAGGGCTTCCACGTAATGAAACCCAGCAAGGAGAACCAAATGAGACACAGCATCATCGGGAAAAAACCACCCCACATCTTCTGCAGCGGACGCGTTCCCCTCGTCACATACGATATATTCCCATGTCAGCGTGCCAGGTTTTTGTTGCCTCCACAGGGACTTTTTTTTTCAAGACTTTTGTTATACAATGCTGATGCTCTGTTCTGGTGCTCCAGTATTATTGACACTGCATTGACCCCTGATGTCCCGGGCTTCATACCCACCACCCATATCTGCTCTTGTACAATAAATGTAGTGCTTATTTGGCCTTTCTACGATTTATTTTGCCTTATTTTTTTCACATTGTCTGTGTAATTGTTGATTGGCTTTCAATGAGGTGACTTTAACATCAACATTGAGGAACAAAATATCCTTATGGCTGTTATTTTTCCGAAAGGCACATCCATTCATTCCCCCCCCCCCCCCCCCCCCCCTGATATCAAATACCAGACCTCAAAAGTGTACTATGGTAAGATTTATTGCAAGTTTGTAAGTCATATTAGGGCAATAAACCAGGATCTGAAGTTTTGGAAGCCAAGAATTAGTCAATAAAAAGTCAGCTTGACAGTACCATTAAAACATTTTTTTAAAGCCCCCTTTGAGAATTTAATGTTTTATTATAACAGTGACCAAATGCAGATATATTGTCGTCTAGATTTGTACATATTACATTGACGTATTGTGTTTTTTAGTCTTTATTTGCTTCAGTAGCTCCTATTGTAGTCCTACACACCAGCAGCATCTGTCCTCTGTACTTAACCTGGATTTCTGTGGAATACATGTTTGCATTTGACAGCTCTAACCTGAATAAAACCAGTTTTGTATGTTTAACGAGTCGTGACAATCTTCCACACAGAATCAACCATCAGTCAGTTCACTTTGAGTTTTTTAATAACCATTTTTTCTGTCCATGAAAGATAGAACATCAGAGAACAACCCACAAAGAACAGATGACCAAAAACTCCATCGCCTTTTTAAAAAAATGGACAAATATAATGAAAAGACATTTCCCGTCTTGCAGGTTGAAAATGGCAAAGTAAAGGCGACAGGAGGTGCCGACGACTCCTCGCACCTTTTAAAACTTTCAATCTGAAAATTGCCTTGTTGAATAAGCTTTTCCACGACGTATACGACAGCCCGCAGGAGGACAAGGGAACAGAGTACACAAGCAAGGGGATAAAATTACCTTTGTACAAAAATAGATCTTTTTTTCAAAGTGTTTTTTTTCTTTTCTTTTTTTTTACAGTCTATGCACAAAGAAAGCAGTGATTGTGTCACAAGCTGATTTCCTGATTACACTTTTTCAACATACAACTGCTAAGCAACACATACATTTCAGAGGGTTTAAAGTCTTCAACTTTTTTGTATTTCTTTTTTTTGCGGTCCCATGATCTGCTGAGAAGCTAATACTTTTTAAATCTGCTGGTTGATCATGATTGATTTTATAAAGTCAATAGCAAAAAAAGGAAACCCTCTGATATTGGTGGTCAGAGAAGACTCCCTCTTTCAATGTTCGGAAATACTCAAGGAACAGATCTGTCGATATATATTTATAAATATATACACATATACATATTAACAAAATAGAGCTTTATGTTATAAAGCATTCATGCGGGTGATCCTTTCTTTTTTTATCGGTCAAGAAGATCCTTGTCTGTTCATTTCCTGCATGGGTGGGTGAGCTCGCACATTATTCACTTTATGGCTTAAGTAAGAGCCCTGCGGTCGCCAATCACAGTAAGCCAAGAGACACCAGGCTGAAGGGAGCGGGAGGATATTCAATTTAAAGTTAGGTCATCCAGTCCAAAAAAAAGCTTCATATCTGCTGTTATGATTTTAAATCCATCCTCCAAAAAAGGAAATCCATCCCAGTCCTACAAAGAGAGTTAATTTTCCTTGCCATATTGACAATTTATGAACAATTGATCCAGAATATAAATACTGTAAACTGAGCTCAGACTGGCTGTCAATACTGTCACCTGGATAGTTTGTAATAGAAACTGTCTAAAAACACTACAAGCCAATACTGAACTTATTACTTTTTTTTTTAAAGCATAGAAACGGAGGTGTAACTGAGCCCGATGATAATAACGCAGTCAGAAAGTGCTATTTTTGTTTGTCAGATTAAATACGTTTAGAAAATTCAAGTAACGTCGCAGTTCTACCTTTCGTCCACTAGAGGGCGCTTGAAGCTTTTAAATGGCGCCTAGACTGTGAAACTGGACACCAATTGTTATGAAAAACATGTTTTTGTCGATATTTCATTAGCGTCTTTTGTCGGAGTCAATAGGAGTATGGAGTCCCGTAGGTGCCACCAAAATAATTTCAGACTTTTTCCTTATCAATTAATACGTTGACAAATACAAACATAACTGTTAAAAATGTTGCTTGGAGACAAGATCAGAAGCCAAACAGCCAGCTAATAAAAGCTCATGTTGCTATGTCGCTGCTTATTCATACGACTCTTCAAATGAAAGTAATCACCACATTGAAACTGTAAATATAAATGCAACAGGCAAATTCATTGTGATATAAAATATGTTCGTCACATGAAAAACATATATTTGCGATAAAAGCCTAATCAAAAACTAGTAGTATGACTATGCTTAAATATCCAATTGTGAATCTGTAAATAAGCAAACATTTATTTATTATTTTAGCAGATGATTGCAAAATGTAAGAAACACTGAAACTAAAACAATCTTATATTTTTTCAACACTTTGCAAACATGTATTATTGAAGTGGCACACTCAAGACTCCATACCCCAAAGACCTTCAATTGTCTAAGTTTATGAAAGCCTGATGAAAACAGTGCTCAGGGTTTTTCTTTCTTCTTCGGGTCCAGTTAGTGTCAAGGTGCTTATGAAAGAGTGGTGAATAAGTAGATGTAGGATAAAAAGGACTAAAAGATATTTCTGATTTTTTTTTTTTTTATCCTATATCATTCTCGGCACTAGCTAACATGTCCTTAAACTCTGCTTTGTCTCACCGTTTCATTAAACACCTTTCAATGAGGGCTGATAGCTGATAAAACAATACAAGATGTCTATTCAATGTTTGAATAGTGAGGAAAATGACATTGATGAGATATTATCGGACCCCCACCTCACAAACACCTGTTTGAACCACACCTGCTCTAAGGACAATCTTTGGCAATGCACTAGATGCATAGTTTTGCAGCAGCTGCAGCATTTAGAGAAAAAGGAGGGAAAATGGCATAACGCAAACTATACATAACGAACATTTCAGTTGGACGTGAATGACACTTGGTGGTCCAGAGAAGTGCAGAGAGAGGTGGATAAAACAATCAGGGGTGCGTTTAAGATCGAGCCAAATCCCACCTCAGGAGGCAGATCACATCAGCTCTCCGTTTAGGAACTCCGCTGTCATGAGGTTAAGTGCCAAATAACATACAAATAAACAAACAATGGCTCGGCTGAGCGCTTTTCTCCCTCAAATGCTTCAACGAGCTGAGGGTTGGAGGGATGGAAACAGAGGTATTTGTGCATTAAAATCACAAGTGAAAATAACGTCAATACTGTGTACGGTTGTAACTTTCTGTACAGGTAGATATGAGGAAACACACGCTGCGTGGAGGGATTTCTGAGTGTGGAGGTGGTAAAAAAACGGTGTGTTGAAATTCACATGAAATGAGATGTGGAGAGGTTGGAGAAGGGACGAAAACAGGAGCAGGGAGACCGCCGACAAAAGGTCCAACATTGTTCGAAATAAGGATGGTAAATGTTGTTCCTGTGCCTGCTGGTAGCCTGGTAGAGCATGGTGTAGCTTAGAGCTAATATACAACGGCCGGGTCTTCCTGTGTGCCTCAGCACGGATTGTTCAGCGTTAACTGAAGGGCTGATTAGTGAAGTCTTTCGTCGTCCTCCACCCGGGTCGCACAGTGCTGACAGAGTAAGACATGGTTGCATTTGTTGGAATTGAGTCCTGAGGGTTTTGAGCACTCGCAGTCTGAGTTTGACTCCAGGAAACTTCAGCTAGTGCAAGACCTGACGTGTTCAGGAGCCAGGTGGGAAAATATCCTTTACCTTGTCCTCACCCCCTCCCCTTAGCGTCCCTCCCTAAAAATGTAGTCCTGAAAGAGAGAAAGGGCTCGGGTCCATGCCGAAGCAGCCCAAGGCTCTCTAAATCCACGATTGTCCCGCTGAGAATCCAAATATGACATCGCCGTTTATTTTCTTCAAAATACCTGCAAGCATTACTGTGGGTGTTAAAAACCTGATCACCTCTGCTTAATCTCGTCCAAGTGTAGGAGAAAGCAAGGATGAAAACGATGGCTCAATATGTTTCTTTTTGTCCGCTTTAAGTCCATGTGTTGCCGTGTGATTTGTCTTATATATATATTTCTTATTTATATATTTTTACAAGGTATAAAACCGACCCACAGACGTGAAGAATTCATTGTTTTTCAAGGGGAAAGGGTAGGGAGGGATGGGAAGAGGTTCTCCATCCAAAGTCATTACTCAATCTGTCCCCTGCTGGAGATTGTTTTTGAAAAAGAACCCCAAACCAGGGCTGTTTGAGGAGGGGGAGAGGGGGTGAGGAGGGCTCAACCCTCTCTGCTATTATGTCATTTGATGCGGTGCTTCTAGCATCTCCATGAGGAACGTGTCGATGGGCGTGTCGCCGATGAGCTTGAAGAAGAACAAGTGCTCCAGACACTTGAGGCCGATGGAGCGCAGCGCCGGTAACCGCAGCAACAGTTTGGCAAATCTGTCACAGAAGAGCCAAGTTAGACACAAAATAAATGGCATCATGCAATGACAGGAAGAGGGAGGGGTGGGGAAATGATCCTGAAGCAAAACTGTCTTTTACGTACAAATGTACTTTTATAACTAGGAATGATATTCACGAGGCAACACTTTGTGCACTTAAGAACATTTAGTCCCAAGTTGGTTTCACTTCAAACCTCACAGAAAAAAGAAAAGCAACCTAATACAATACTACTTTTACTAGCGATTTTATTGTCACAGGCACATTTTCTATGTCGGAATAAAATATGAGCCAGAGTTGTTCTTAATTGCTTGGTGTTAGCTGTTCATAACAATCCTTCCTAGCGATCTTAAGTCAGTCTTTGTCTTGATATGACAAAACATCCATTGTCAAATGTTTAATATTATTGTATTGTCTAGGACACATTGTCTAAATACTTAAGTATTTTCAAAGTCTTCTTATGTAGGTGTTTAATAGGCCTAAAATACAAACATTACATTTTTCACAGCTAGTCTTTTGTATTACTAAAGAATCTTATTTTTACTTTAGTCTTTAAAAAAAAAAGTATTCTGGCATTAACTAATATTGAATTAATAAACCGAAGAGAGTAAGGTGTTATCTGTATGAAGAAAGGGGCAAATGAGGATGAATGTGGGGATTAGCACAGTGTCATTTCTGTGTTTGTGTTCTCACCGGCCAGGCTGGTCGGGGTACTTCTGTTTGCAGTAGGCCTCTAAAGACGCGTACACTTTCTCTCTCAGAGCTTCTACCTCACCAGGATTGGACAAGCCTTTAGAGTCTGTGGAGCAGATGCAAACAAATATTAACAAACACAAAACAGCAACCCTTCAAATAATATTTAACACAAAACAATGGGGCAGTGATGAAGTATTTTTGTAAGCTGACCCGGAAGTTAGCCTCGACAAAAGACAATGGTACATTTTTATTTTATTTTGGAATATTGCGGAGAATAAGGCATGTAGCAAACATCTGTTCTACGATGTTTATAATTGTTGAAGAGTAAGTGCAATTGCTTAAAATAAATGGCTAACATTATGCTATAAATGGGCTACAACATTGTGGCTTTATTACACACCACACCGCTAAGCTAAAGGGGAACTTGTCTTAGCGTTATGTCTCATTTAGTCCCTTGTAAGCAACCTCCTCTTCCAGAAATGTACAGGCTTAAAACATTTAAGAGTGAGGAATTTAATGACGAACCCAAAAACTCCACAAAAAAACATAGATTTTGAGAAGAGGAAACCCAAAAGAGCTAAAATGCTAACTCATTCCCGGGATAAGGACTCATTCCTGCACCATTCTATAAGAAAGTATGTTTTCATAAGCATGTGAACACCCTTTTTATACTTTGTATTCTTCTAGTTGTTCAAATCAGAGAGAAACTCAATTGCTCAAATGGCTACTAACATTAGCATACAAAAGAGGGCAGAGCCTCACTAACTTACAAGCTGAGTTTTAACCCCGCAGGCTGGCGGAGGGCTGTTGTCACAACATTCTGGGTTACTCCAATTAGGCCTGCGCTAATTTAAGCCCCGCCGGCGGACTCATCTTTGAGTCCCAACACAAACGCATCATTGATTAACATTTTGTGATGAACAAAGCGCTGCACTTTTGATCAAAAATGAATGAACACTTGTTGTTAATGGCCGGACTCGATGGCACAGTGTGGGAAAACGAGGGACTGAGGGCTTTTCTTTTTTTTTTTGCCTAGCCATCCCCTGTGCCACCCAACCCTCTACTTTTTCCGTCAGAGCAGTCTTGCGAACCCCTAATTAAGAAGGAACTGGGCCGAGACGTGAAGCCGGGCCTGGATGTGGCCTGGACAAAATGTGAAACACAGAGGATCAGTGTTTGGGGTAGACGGATCCACAGTGGCACCAGAAGGACGGAGGGAGTCGTTAAACAACTTGGGATTACATCCATAGGGTTGATTGGTGCCATATGGGTGAGGTTTAAATACAGAACAGGCTGATAGCAGGCGTGACACATGCCTTGGCAAGACTTGCGCCTCAATTAAAGAACTTGCTGTTGGACACATTTTCATGAGAATTTCCTGATTAAATAAAGATTGAATTGGTTTGAGCACAATCAATTATTATTGTCCTGTTCAGCTATTATTTTCAGCTCTCTACCTCATTTCCGATTTCACAAGAGAAGTTCAAAGAAAACACAGAAAAGTCAAAAGTTCCTAATTATCCGGTTACATTCAAGAGGTCAAGCCAAGTCACACGTTTTGGACTATAACTCTTTGCTTGAAAGGTCGATGTGAAACATATATAGTTTCCCCTCTGGATTATTCTGTAGGCGCGGGTTGTGAGGCTTCTCTGGATGTTTTGAAACTTTTCTTCTCACTGTGAGAAGTTGTTGCTGTTGGATTCGATCACAACCAAATTCCTGCTGAGTCCATAAAGAAGCTCCTAACTTTTTACAACCAACTGTCAAGCGTAATGGAAGAGAGACACTTAACTACATTTTTTGGTTGGAGTATCACTTAGCTTCAAGTCCTTAATGAGTAGCTATTTTAGTATCAGCTGTGTGCAGAAACAGTTGCACATAAATCTACGGCACAGATAAATCTTGGAGCAAATAAATAATAAAAAGACCAACTGCACAGGAATGCATTAGTGTTGAACAAAGGCGCTCAACAACCCAGCATTGATCTGAAATAACAATCACATATTGGAAAAAATGTCCACTGTATTGTGGATGCTTAACACGGAGCTTGGTTCAACTGTGTTCTTGAATTCAAATAGAGTTCTTCAGGGATGATATATTTTCGTAGGTTGACCTGGAAGTTAGCATGGCAAGGGCTCCCTCAAAGAAAAGCCAACGGCATTTATTAGTTGCTATTAGATTTTAGCAAAAAATAAGCTCTGTAGCGAACAAATGAGATATTTCCACGTTGTTTTTCATCAGGATAAACTCCACAAATTGACAGCACTTTTAGGATTTTTAAAGACGTCAACACCACTCAGTTAGCTAAGTGTTTGGCATTATGACGTTTAGAAGTCTTATTTAGTCATTTGTTAGCAACCTCCGTTTTTATGAAACATAGAAGCCTCAGACGTTCATCAGTGGGGTATTTAATGGTGTCCGACGGGTGCAAACGTGCTATGGTCAAAATCATTTCCAGTAGAAGAAACACGCTGCAGCTTCGAAAACGATGCAAATATAAAAGACACGAAAAAGCTGCAGCGCATTTCTCCTAATGGAAATGTTTTTTCGGCCGTTGTAGCCGTAGTATTTATTGTCATAGATATTTTATGTCGAAGAACAAAAATCCAAAATCTATTAAATGTCTATTACTATAACCACAAACCATTAAACCAAAAACCCTTGACTTTGAGGCAAAGGAACCCGGAAGTGCCCAGGTTTTAGGACTCACTCCTCCACCACTTTACTGTAACCAATTGCTACGTTCCCTCTCCTACAACAGCTCCCAGTCATGTACCTGCAGGATTCTGATTCAGCAAATGCCAGCATACACATGGTGATAGTTACCTGGGTTGAAAAGGACTATCGCTCGAAGGCACCCCAGTTCTGTCTTATCCATCTGCATGTCCCTCATTTTTGACACCAGTTCTGTGAGCACTCTGCACAAAAGACAAAAAAAGGCAGGTGTCATTTTTAATCCTTTTTTTTGGTGATGTATCCGATATCTCAGTTCAAGATATCAAAGAAAACCATTTGAGTCTAATTGGTACAATGTTGTATAAATGACACATGCAATTCCAGACTGGGGACATTCAAAATATGTTTTTAACTACTATCCAGCTCAATTCTATTTAAAAAAACAAACACACGCCCGCTTGTACACTCAGCCCACATGGGCACGGTTAGATGAGTGGAAAAGTTTACAACCCTGCTGCAAAGTAATTATATTTAGTACATGGCTTTCATAAAAAGGAAAGCCACAGAGTAAACACACACTGTAATCTAACACCAGGGCTCCCACTGTCTGTGTGTGACATCACTGGTGGGAGTGTCGGTGCCTCGCTCGAACTCCTCACCCCTCGTTGACTCGGTCACACCCTCTCCTTTATTTTCCCTCTCCTTCCTCCCCCCTCTCTTTTTCTCTCCCTCAGATAGTAAAGTAAATTGTGGCTCTTAGCTCTCATTCTAATTCAATTTGTTACGCAGAGGAACAACAGGGCTAAAAATAAATAAAAAAAGGGAGAAAGAAGAGACTCAAGTGTTGAAGTTAATCAGTGTCTTCATTTGTATGGTGAAGAGGGAGAGGATTAGATAAAGAAACATTATCAGCTCTCTGCATCGTAATGCTTGCCACAGTTAATGCCAGAGATGGAATATGTCCTCCGGCTGTGTGAACGGCCATCATACGGCACAGAGGCGAGGTGATCACAGCGGCACAGAAATAAGGAGATATTTAAAACCCAGACTGCTGTTAATGAGAGAGTCTGATGACAGCATCTGTAAGCGCCAGTAGTACACAACCATTTTTACATTATTTACATTTTTTATTTAAAATCTATTTATCTATTTGTATTTTACGCAAACAACGTTAATGGATAATATTAATTTACCAAAATTAACATTATAAAATACTAGATGCATTTTTTTCCTTTTATTTTCTACTTTGGTTTTTGACATTTTCTGTTTCTGTGGGACCCCTGATGCCTACATTGTACATATGTAATAAACCGGAGCCAATCAATAGTTTCTGTGCTGTTGGCCTTTCAGGAGTGCAGGTGTTATATTTCAGCGGAAGAAAGCAATAATTCATGCTGTAAAACACTTCAAATCATTCAGAGGATGTTGGAGTTTGTATCTAATGCCCTATAAGAAGGTAGTACATGATTTAGAGATCATCTTTGAAATATATATGTATTAATGTATCAGCTACAATTACTGTTTTTCTTGTTATTGTTTTAATGCCTATCCTAATAGTCAAGACAAATGTTATCACAAAGAAAAACATATATATATAAGTTCATAAACCCGATTTTTCTAAACCTATCATTATGGCTTATTACTTATCGCTAAATGCATTAATACATTTATTAAAATACAAAGCATTAGTGTGAATAAAATGTTATCACTGTCGAAATAACTTTTCAAAAGATTGCATAGGTTTTCTTATAACTGACTTGTAAAACATTTATAAATGAATGAATGAACCACTTATAAAGCCATAACTTATAATGTAAAAACCCTTGTGAAAATTATAATTGAAAGTGGTAGTTCAAAGACAATAAAGTTCAGTAATACGGTAATAATAACCTGTCAAAGATGGCGCCCACTCCGGCACTATGGGCGCTGTTGCGATGGACGTGCAGCCCGGTAGCCAACAGGATCCCGTCTTTGATCGTTATCGAGCGGTGCGAGAATGACGCAATGAGGAGTTCATTCCAACCTGCGGCAGAGGGATCGAGGGAAAATATGAGAAGAGACAACAAGCAAATCCCTGTACAAAAGTTCACATAGCATTGAGGCAAAATGGAACTGACAACAAAGGGAGGGAATTCCAATGAATCAATTAAGCTGCGCCGTAAAAGCGTGCAGATTTCTCAAGCATCAGGTTATTCCTGAGAATCATGCTTTCTGAGGAGACAAGCGTGTAAAAAGGGATGAACCGCGCCTGCCATCACAATAAAATCAACAGGCTTGATGTGCCAAAGCAGGGGCTCGACACAGAGAGCAGCGCATACACAAGACGCTGGCTTTTGAGTGACAGGGCTCCTTTAACTGTTCTGCCTGGCAACACTCGCCTCTTCTCCGCAGAGTTGAGTCGGGTATGAGAGGAGCCGGGATGCTTTTATCTGAGATACAGCAGAACTAAAGCAGTTATTTATAGAAAACCTGAGAGCCGAGAAAGAGACTCTCAGAGAATAATGTCTCTCGCTGCTTTGCTGACGTCTCTCCATCATTGTCTGCGCTAAGGATAAGGATTTTTTTATTAGCGTACGAGACAGGGTGTGTAATAGAATTGTTTTCCTCAAGGTGGATTTAGAATATAATGGTGTAATTTGGAGCGACAGGCAGGCAACAAGGGCAATGTGTTGAAAGAAACCAAAAGACCTCCGTGCATTTCATGTTAGTGAATCGAAGAAAAGTGACAGATAATTCACTCCATGTTTTATGTGGCTGTCACTTTGATCGTGAGCGGTTAGCATACTTTCCCATATAGGCTATAGTACATACTCACTATGAGCTGTTGTGACCTTGGTGGGTCTGACTCATCTCAGTCACATGAACTAGAGTTACGTCATGGTGGCCAGATTGGTGTATTGATCCTACCGAAATAGGCTACAGCTAGCCTTAGCATCTTTATTTCACAGTTTTCTAATTTCTTTCATCGGCTAGTTTTCAAAGACAGTTTTCTTTTTAAATCTATATTCTATCACCAGAGGGTATTAACTGCTGTTCAGAATCCTAGAAATGAAACGCCCTATTATTTTAACCAAGGAAACACAATAGTTATTTAGCTAGCACTTAACAGCATCATATGTATCTAGTTAGCTGTTAGCATGCTGTCAAATACTTAATTGGAGCTGTATGCTAGCGGTTTAGTGTTGTATACTTGGTTGAAGACAAGGTGTTTTATATTATTTAGAACAGTTTCTCATTTATTTTACAACTTAGCTAAATTGAACATATTCTTTATGTCCAAAAGATGCTAAATCCAAGTGGTTTTGGAGCATTTACCAGAGTTTCTACTGTAACTGGAAGGGTTTTAATGGAATACAATCCCTTATTTTCATTTATTGTCATTATTTGTTTGGTGATTTATTCATACATTCGGCCTGCATTTGAGGAACCTTTTTGGCATTTTTATGACCTTTTTATTGGCCCTTTTTGACCAACCTGCACGTAGGAGGATGACCTGGTCATCGAGTGGCAGCTCAGAGAAGTGTGGGATCCTCTTGGCCCACTCCACCAAAGTAAAGAGCTGCTTGTCTGCCGCCTGACAGATATTTGTTACCGGGTCGTTGGGCTGCAGAAACAACAAAAGCACATACAAATCCTGAAGTTAGAAATATAGCACAAAATAAATGATATCCTAGTTTTAGCCTGTGAGTCTTTTTCTTGGCTGAGAGCCTGGCGTCAGGTTTAACCACCTATCAACACACTCACATATCATGTTAAGAGGAGCAAGTAGGAAGACAAAAACAAACATTGATTCTGTCCCAGCTCGTGGAGGAAATACCCGCAGAGAGCTTGCCGTGAAAAGAACGACTTTCACCAAGCAGGCTCTTTCTTTAGGGACCTTTTTAGTCTACACACAAATCAGCCTTTCGGACAGCTAGCGTAGCTCAAGAGGCCCCCCTTCCTGACACTCCACTGACACTTCACTACATAACAAGCTCTTAGGAGCTCACTTGGGGCTTTGTTATCAGGCTGGGTAGGCCTTTAGAAAACTCAGAAAATGATTGTGTATAAGGATTATCCATATTTACTCACATTAAAACATCTAGTTATGTCATTATTCTCCAGGTCACATGCCCAAAACATAATTATTGATCAGAAGGCGAATAGATTAATTCATTGCATAGGTTCTATTCATATATTTCCATGTTTTTAATACGGTCCCAAAATAATTGTTCTCATGTGATTTTGATAAATGATTAAAGGAAAAACAAGCAGTTCTTGTTAATGGACGTCAATGGAAATTGGCAGTTTACTTCCCAAAATAGTATCACTGACTAATAGCTCTGTGAAATAAAAGGTGAACCAAGGACAGCGCTAAAGTCTTTCATTGATTTCACTACATTAGATCTATTAAGCCTTGAAAAGAGATGAGCATAACATATTGAAGACAGGCTCACTCGTACATGGACATATCTTTTATTTTAAAGCCTGTTATGTAAGGCGTATGCTTTTAGAGAAACCTCTCTTCACTTCAGGAGCTAAATAGTTCTCAGTGATGAATGTTCTACATGTACTTTTGCAGTGAAAGCGTGCTCAAACCCTTAGAAATGTCTTGAATGTTAGGACATTGTGTAAAATTGTCCATTTAATGAAAAGATGTGGCAGTAATGACAGCACTGTAGCTTTTATTCTTGTTATTTTATACCTGTCTTATTCAATTCATATGTTCTTGGCTTTGTAATAACTGCTTTAGAATATATTTAAAGGCTGTCATTGTTTTTTAAAGCACTAAAAATTTACTTTGATCCATTTCCAAACAACATAAACATATAGTATATTTTCTTGGAGAAACAAATCTCACAATTGCCTTCACGATGAAAAAAATACCCTTTTAATGATATTGAAGAGATACCTCTACAATAATGAGGAATAGAGTGCCACACTTCCTAAAACCCGGAAGTAAGTTAGCATTTTACCACTTCCGGTTCCTTCGATAAAAAGCAGTGCAATTTCTCCATAGGATTTTGGAAAATAGCTGGAAATAAGGTCTGTGGTTGAGACACATTTAAGAGACGGATCACGTTTTGTTCTACGGCATTAAATCCATCAGCAGTGACCCCACTGGGGATTTCTGAAGAGTTTACGTGTCTGAAAAACGATGGTTGTTAACAAGTGGCTGAATAGGACTATAGAAGTTGTCGAGACCGTTTTACGTCATTACACCGAACACGTAGACAGTAGACACTCCCGCTAAGTTTGTTTTTCCCCGTGTTCTGCTTGAAAGCAAGTCCCTGCCTCTTGCAAACTGTTAAAACAAATGCTTCAACTTGTACAATTTTGAATCTGTAGTTTTGAATATGGATCTTAAGTTGGCGTGACGTTGAAGCAGCGACCCTGCTGTAGTTTGTTTGTAGCATAACGTTAGCATTTTGCTTCTGGCGACTAGATTTATGATTTCAAAATTATAAAAGTAGGGTAGACATGTGGATATTATCCGACTGAACAAAACATGATCCGTCTCTTAAATGTGTTTCAACCACAGACCTTATTTCGAGCTATTTTCCAAAATCCTATGGAGAAATTGCATTGCGTTTTTGTCGAAGGAACCGGAAGGAGTTTACTTCCGGGTTTTAGGATGCTTCACTGTGACACTCTGTAGTGTGTGAAGGGGGTTTTGTGTACAAAAATAAACTGAAATATAAAAGATAACATAATAAACCCTTCAGATGTTAAAGTTATGGTCATAACCTGTAAGAGGCAATAAATTAGTACTATTCATGCGAGAGTTCAACTAGTGGACATGTTTTTGTTTCATATAGAATCCAGCTAGATTTTAGGGAAGCTTAAAATGACCCTCAATCAGAAAATTGAATACCACAAAGAAGACTTAGAAAAGGCCTACATGTCAGAGTTTCGGGATGACAATATATGCTTAAATGGGGTGTGCATTAAGTGGAAGAAGGATCAGAGTGCCAGTTTTCCACCTCTCTTAAAACCTATTAAAGGGCGGAGTCAATCTCTGATTGGCCGAGAGGGGAATGCACCCAGCTGCTCTCAGTTTTTAATTAGTAGCCAACAGGTGATCTGAATAACCTGCCATCAACTCAGGTGGATCGGGAGATTCAGCTTAAATGAATAAGGAAATTACAGAATTAGGATATTCTACAAATAATTCCACCTTTTCTGATAATCATTTAACACACATTTACGATTTAATGAGGCTGCAACGAAGAATTTACAATATAGATGTTGCTAAAAGCTTAGTAAGGTATTGTTTTTTTGTGTTGCCAAAAAAAGAGTAAACTTTCAAAGAAAAGTCCCAAAAAATACAGGTATCTTCCTGAAGAACCCGTCTATATGTAAATTGTAAGACCAGTGGGAGAAATCTTCAAGTGTAAGATCTCTGAGTTATTCAGTTAAGATTATAATTTTTGTGGGAAATGTAACACTTTAACTTGACACTCCAGAGACAAGGACTGCTTCTCCTAAACTGTCCCGACACATCCGACTTACTTTCTCCAAGGGGGAATTCATGAACAGTGGAGGAATACTAATGCAACATGCATACAGTGTGACTAACTCACTAAAATGTAAATCCATCTGGGCAGGGGGGGTAAAAAGAACCCAAAACAATACTGTCAATCTCTGATGAGTAATTTCCCATCGTCCCAGGAGCAAAAACCCCTGATATGTGCGTGTAAACAAAGACTGTACCCACACGCTTTTGTGCATATTTCAAAACAAGTAAACATCCTTTTATTCTAAGTATCCCTGTGTGAACTCGACAAAAACAGTCAGCAACTTCTCCCCAACTTCCCTCTGCCAAATCCCCACCGATCGATGCTAAAAGCTTGCAGGATCCCGACATCAACTGCTGCTCTCAAGAGAAGATTAGTTCATGATGAAGGAGAAAACATCCCTCCACTCACACACTCCTTTCAAAAATACGCAGGCCAAAGACTACCCCTTCCTCTACTCCACATCCCTCCCTGCGGTGCGAAACTCACACTGACTGCAGAGTATCACAGATATGAAAAACTAAAACCAGACAAAGCCTACACTGTTTTTGAAAGTTGTATTTCTTCTCGACTTCGGGGGTAGAAAGAAAACAGTCGTCTTATGAATATTTTAGCATGTGATCTCCGTGGGAGTCGTGGACGGGAGGGAAGCTCGGCGCGACAGTTTTTTCGAATACAGCGCTTCCACTAAAAAACACATAAACAGATTTGGCTAATTCGTTCCAAAGCGCAGACCAAGCCAAAACAAAGAAAAGCAACGAAAAAAGTGGGCTTTGGTGCGTATGGCGGTCCTGCCACCCTTCTTCATAAGAACACAAGTCCCAGGGTTCTCGCGTTAAACATGGCAAGCCTCATGAATGTTGAATGGCTATCTTAGCCGTGTTTACACTGACCTGGTTTCTTTGCCCCTTGTCTGCGGAGATGACAGGGGAGAGGAGCTTACACTTTCCTGCAACAATCCTCCGGCATCACATTACTGTACTTACTGTTCGAGTCGCAGAACAGCTTTTAGGATGTTATCGGGCCACAATGGGGGAGCCCGCTGTGACCTATGAGCGAATAAAATTAACCTCAATGTTTAAGTACAAAAGCGCACCAGGGAATATCTCGCAGCTCTACAGTTGAAGCTTTTTCTACTGGGCAGATCTGATAAGATTGGACAAAAAAGGGAAACTTGAGACAGAAAGCAAAAGAAGACTTTGCTAAGTTGCTAGATTTCAGCCACTTTAGCAGAACGGCTGCCACAGAAAAAGAGCTGCTGTCTTTATTCCCCAACAAATTAAAGGTGTTTACAGCCACATGTTTTCTCCGCCATGGTCGATCATCGCTGGCAACTTAGAGAAACGCCAGGCTTGCATACTGTCCTATGACATTTTCATCACTTGAGCAACGGAGACGGAAGATTTGCCTTTCAATTTTTCATTATTCAGCTTGAACCAGACTATACTGGCGTGACATCAGAGAGAAACTTGGGTACTCATACAGATCAGTACGGAAATAAATTACTCAAGTGTCCCACTTTTCTAGATTGAAAAAAAAGAAAGAATCTCTCGTCTGGGGCGGTTGATGAATCATCAGCTAATTATCATCTAAATAACAGCAACGCTTCCTGCCTTAAGCTTGGGAAAAAATATAAGAAACTTTGATAAATTGACTCATATACGCAGTAGAACGGACATCCGGTAATAATACAAAAAGATAGAGCGAAATGCGTAAAATAGACGTAAAGAAAGCTAAGTTAAGTGATAGATAGCATCTTCTCCTCTTCCCCCCCTCCTTATGAAAAGTCCTCTCTCTGTCTGACTGAAAGGACATTACTAACGCCTGTTTAACTCCTGTTCTAGGTCACCATGAGATAAACACACTTTATTCAGGTTGGCAAGACCCCGGCCATTAGACAGTGGCGGTGGCCTATTCATGAAGTACACTCATGGCCCGGGCCCTGTGATTAATTATAGCACGGGGCAGTGACTCTCAATGGAGACCTCACAGAAGGGGGGAGGACACAGAGAGAAGGGGAGTCCTTGTGGTTGGGACAGCCTGAACGAGGATTCTCTGCCAACATCCTGGGCTCTAAATGGTTAGAGGGTCAGTTCAAAGGGATGATTTCCTTGATTGCTTTTAGTTGTATCTGGCAATGTTTTACAGGCTCAGGTATTATATACAATAGGAGTTGTTTTCTCCATTTGGAACGCCCAATTCCTGATGCTCTGCTGTCCTTTTCACTGTTGCTGTTGGACTTCTGCACTCGTAACCACATGCCAGCAAAGAACATCAGCAGGAGGCCATAACCAACCAAAAGGTTCTAGTACATCAACAACCCTCCCTTGCTTCCAAGCATGGCGAGCAATGGAAGTAAACAGTGGTTGGTTTTGTGGTGCTTACAAAGGACATTTGTAAAACTCAAACCTTCACTCTTTTCAGTTCTAATGTTTTGGGGTTACAGCCAACGTTTCAGAGATGAATATCTCAAAACATTGGCAAACAGAACCTAAACTATATGCACCTTAATATTTCTTAAGCTTGTGTTTACCACATAACTTATTTTAGGCATCTAACCAAAAGCACATAACAAAGTAAACGTTAAATTATTGACCACCAGAACTGGTAAAATGCAAACTTATTTCCTGGTCTATGACTCATTCCTGCATTAGTCTCTAATAGCAAGAGTTTCTTATATCAATATACTTTGTTGTACAACATGGATATACAATTGCTCAAAAAACTCATCCAATCCACACTACTGTTCAACTTTAACAAATTAAGGGTATCAATAGTTTTAGCAACTTGAAGAGCGTTAACAGCCCGTCTACACTACAGGCGTCAAAAAATGCTTTCAACGCTTCGCCCATTCATTTGAATGGGGTGACGTAGGATATTTTCAAACTTCGCCGAACTGCATTGTGGGTAGCATGGCAAGGCGTTGCAAGCATCGCGAGCGTCTATCGGCGTCAAAAATTGAACAATGTTCAACTTTTGAGGCTCGATGCTTGCTCGAAGCTGGCGTCAGCCAATGAAATCCCGTTTATGCAAATCTGCCAGTACAAGCGAGCCAATCAAACCGCGTGTATGCTGGGAGAGACTACGCAGGTCATTTCCTCATATTCAAAAAAATGGAGGGAAAATTCATTATAGCGGTAGTGAATCACCCGGTGCTGTATGATCAGTCTCTGTTCATCTACCGGGATACAAACCGGAGGAGCGAGGCATGGAGGGAGGTGGCAGAGACAGTGGGTGAAACTGGTAGGTTTTCGCCTGTTTGGGGATTTTATATCCAGTTGACTTCGTTTTAACATTGCTATTGCTTTGTATGTCGGGGGCGGGAGATTCATGTGATTGGTTGTTAGTCGTGTTGCTCGCAAAAAATCGCCAAGCCTCAGACACGCCCAGCTTCAAGCTTTTTCGACGCCTGTAGTGTAGACGGGCCGTAAGAGTTTTGTAGATTTTTTAATATGATGCGAGTCAGATATTATTCCACTTTGAAAGTGAAATTTGGAGCCGTAAAACATCTGTATTTTAGTGCGGTTTTCATCTCTTCTGCAGTACTTTAGAAACCCTTCTCTTCATTGTGTCAGGCAGGCAGCGGGCATCGAGGGACACATCAGGCTGAGTCCAAACACACTCAGTGCATTAGTGTGTCTGAGCTGCCAGCCGCTCCCCCGTGACACCCCCACTCCTTCTCCCTCTCCCTTATGTCAACGCTCATCTCTTACATTTCCATCTTGCCCCCCCCCCAAAAAAAGCTCCAATGTACTCACATAACAGCCCTCACATTTCTACCTTTACTTCATAGGACATGTCCCTCCCCTGAAGCATATTAATTCCCCCCCCCCCACCCTTCTTCTTCTCTCACCCTACTTCCTCGCTGCCTTTGGTAGGCTGCTGCTCTGTTTCTCATGTTCTTGCAGAATTCCTGAGGAAGCCGAGGCTTTGTGCAGTGCTTTCAGGAACTAGTCTGCCTGTTGCATTATTCATCACTCTTAGTCTCCTCTGTGTCAAAGACAGCCCACAGTGCCCAGCTGATACTGAGGGGATATATGAGGCAACGCACAGCTGAGCAAAGGAGCTGATGCAAGGTGAACAAGTAAAGCAGCGCTCTAGACTACAAGCAGTCACTCCAAAGGGACTGAAAGAGGGAGGACACACAGTAATCATACCCATCTTTACCAGCAGATAGACTTCCTGACTGACAACTAAAAGCTGTAAAAAGTATCTTTCCAAACCGAATGTCCCAATTCCAATCTGCATGACAATCATTTTTGAACGATAAGTAATATGTTTATTTACACTGAAAACTGACAAACGTCTTATGATGCGACTATGCCGTTATGTTGTGTGCGGTTTCATCTCTGAAATTCGTTTCAAAAATGATATCAAGGAGCAACATGCAGCTGGAATAATTTAAAACGTAAGTGGACAATGTTAGGACAGCGCCAGGAAGATTTTGGAGAGCAGATTAAGCTCATACTTGGTGAGAATTGACAATAATAACCAGTATAACCTATATAATGTATGAGTTTTTAATCCCCACCAGCCCCTAGATGTATACAAAAAAAGTGTTTATGTGTGTGATGACTTGTTGCAGAATGATACAGGATGTGAGTGTTTGCAAAATAGCAACTTACCGAGTTGGATGGCGCACCAAGGTTGGTCTCGATGTAGGTCTCGGTTTTAGGTTCCACCGCCTGCTCAGCCTCCAGGATCTTCTCCACGGGCATGTCCTCGTTGGCGCAGCCGGTGGACTCCACCTCGTTCTCATTTCTCTCCTTGGCTCGCTGGCGCTCCTCCTGAACGGCTGCATGTAACAAAACTGGTTCCGGTCACTACTGCTGTTTTTTGTTTTGTTCTTAATACAATGTCAGCATGCATAGTGTGTTAAAGGAAAGACTCAGGGTTGAAGGCTTACAGAGTTGCCATTACTCAGCAAGGTTTTAAAGATCTTAAAAGGGTTTTCTAGGAAAATGACTCCATAAGTAAAGTAGTTATCATATTTTAGAGCTGCATTGCTTTATCGCTATTCCTTGGTTCTTTAAGCTTACTGTTTTGGTTTACACACATTTAAATGTTGTTTAATCTCATGCAGCAGCAGTCAGAATTTGTCAGCAAACATCTTAAAAAATCAAGTCAGTTTGTGAATTATTTGCAAAGATAACAAATATCTGCCAATCTGCCAATGCAGGGAGGTTGTGCCACCCATTTGGAAATCAACTTAAAAAAAATACTTTACTAAAATAAATGATGCAACATTGAATGTCTTGATAAGGCAGATTTTTTTTTATGCGATGGAACTGCTTTCGACACTGAATCTTTCCTCCGTTTAAACACTTGAACTCTGAACAAACAAATTGTTCATAGTCTAGTTGCCCCATATTTGTATTTACACACACAAACTTGTATATATGTGTGTGCATGCTTGAGTGAGTATTTGCTTGTCTGTGTCGAGTCTGCATGTGTGAGTGCCATGCTTTGTGTCTCGGTAAGCCAGATAAAAGTGCATGACCCTGTATGCGTTATGCCAGTAAACATATCCAAGAGGGTTCAATCATCAATTATTCCTTTGACAGTGCGGATGGAATTTATTAATGACCGTAGACCAACATTATGTGTAACACAGGAGCATGGAAATGTTCAAGGGCTTCTCGTAGCCTCCTTATCAAAGAGATGTGTTTTTTATGTAGTGCTCGATGACAAACAGCCGGATTCTTTTGTATACAAATCATTTATGGACACATATGTCTGTCACTGCTTCTTTGAGACATGTGTGGTAGCCAGAATAGCTTGGATAAAAAAAGAGCTTGAGTCAAAGAAGACTGTGTCTCGTAATTCCTTTTTTTGTTTCGTGTTGTGTGTAAAAGCGGGTTAAAGCACAACTTGGTTCTGTCGTGTGATTGGCTTGGCGAGGAGACACAGGAAGTGGTTTGTGTGCTGAGCAGACACCAGCTCACTGTGGCCGAGTCAAGAGAAACCGCACGTCCACCCTCAAGTGAGGATGGAAAAGACGCATGTGTGTGTGTGTGTTTTGTCTTTTCAAAAGGCTATCATTTACCTAATTCAAGACACCGCAAGGAAAGTGCTGCAACTTTTTTATACATTTATCCTCCACTCATTGATTAATGTGAACAACTTTTCATGATTAAGTGCCTTTGGAGAGTCAACGTTAGCATGCAGGCATACAAACACACCTGGAGAACTGTCTTGACTCAAAAAACACATATCACACAGTACACTGGGTTTGCAGGATGATGTGTCTCCTTCCTCTACTCTAGTTTATATTCCAAGTCCTGAATCATAGAGTCTTGTTGGAAGGGTTGTTGTGGGGGGGCAGGGGTTGTTAGAAGAGGAGAGGGAAAGGGGCCCCATTTTAGAGGAACTGCAGTCTGGCGGTGGAGGTCAGCCCAAGGGTAGAATACTTGTGTTGGGAGTCAGAGAGAGGTGAGGAGGGCTGAAATCATGTTAGCTTTATTTCCCCCACCCACCCCCGTACACCCCCACCTCCACCGTCCTCCTCTCCTGACTGGGAGAGCATAAATTCATTTAATCCTGTTTTTCTGTGGATTCGCTTAGCCTTTTGGGCTACTGTTGCCTTGTTCTCTAACCACAGCCCTCGGGGTGCATGGGGAGAGGCTTAGGCGGTGCTGAGAGTGAGGCGAAAAAAGAGGCAGTAAATGATAATATCCTTGAAACGAGTAAGGAGCCTAACAATGATATAAATAAAAGCAAGAAGAACAGGAGGGCAGGCCAAGCAAAGGTCAAGACAAATTGGCCTTGGATAGAATGTAACCTTCCAAAAAGCATTTATCCAAAAACAACGTGTACCTTCACCTTTAAATGGGGAAGCTACTTGCTACACTCGCTGTGGCTCAGTATAATCTAGACACTCTGTATCTGCATTCTGTGGTGATCATAATGGGGAGAGGCAGTGATTGATTTGTCCAATGTGCGAAAGTGTGCTGCTGAGAGCGCTAATATTTTTAACACCCTCATGGAGTGTTACAATTCACGCCTGACTAACAGGTTTTTTCTTTTTTTCTCCTCACACGAGCCGACTCTTCCTTTAATCTTTCCTCGGAGATGCTTTACTGTACTGCCCGACAATCAAAGGAAGTATTCAAGGCATTGTTTACAATTCAGGGTTGCTCTTAGAGACTGGAGAGTGATGAGTGAAGCATCAGATAAATATAACCTTTTCAAACAAACCCATTTATCCAGGGAGTATGAAGATACAATCAATTGTGCATTAAGAGGGAACGCCTGAGTGAAAAGGCTACAGTGTTCATTTACAGTGTATAATACATTGTGTCCTGTTCCCATGACGATATATGGCTAAGGCTATTTATTTTCCAATACATTTTGAATTATGCAGCTGATTCTAATAATTGCTTTTAAGTCAATTTATTTGTTGTTAATTTCTAGACATTCACTTTCTTTAAAGGGTATTTTAATCAGTAAGTGAATGCATCTCTTTTTACATAATCTGGATAAACATATCTGCATATGAATGCTAAATCATTAGCAACGGGACGGACATTAGTGTTCTAGTTTTTGGTTTGTAGTCCAAGTAGTAGTATCCTATCACAGTTGAGTGAGATTTGTTTGAAAGCAGGTAAACAATCCATTTTAATAGGCAAAATGGCAGTCTTCGAACCCTAATAACGACAACTGTGATTTTTTATTTGCATCTACGTTTAATCAGCAAAAGAATGCTTACTTTTCAATTTGACTCTTTTTAACCAACTAATTCTACCCTGTTAATGCAGGGTTAAAAGTACTTTCTCTAAGGAAGCTACATTTAGAAGCACCTGTAGCTGAGACGGACTTGAATATAACATGGTAATTAAACATTAAGCATGTAAATGTCACAGTGGATGAGTCTATAATCCTCAGTCTGTACTGAGAGAGGTCAGGGTTTATTATGCGCTGGAGGAGAAGTGATGTAAGTTTGCAGGAATGTTGGATTGTTGCATCTTGAATAAATCCTTTAATGGCGAAATGAAGCTCTTCCTGTCCACAGCGGGATTATGTTATCTGACTTTAAAAACTATCAACGATGCACTGAGGTCTAAAACATTGCAATGTTTGTTGTCAGGATGATGTCTAAAGTATCATGAGTAAAACAAATGAGTCTGCTCTTTGTCAATGTTATGGCTGTAGTTGTCAGAGTAGATGCTCCGATAAACACAGGCTTTACATAAAGCCTTGTTATGTTTATGTAATTAATGCAGTTTGAATTTCTCCTTTACATGGATACTAAAGACGTAGATGCTCTTATACACACAGGCATTACATAAAGCCTTGCTATGTTTATGTTAAAGACGCCTGTTATAGTTGTAATGTCTGTAACAAAGTTGACATAGATGCTTGAGATATGATTTGAAAGATTGATGAACGGTCTGTCCTCACACAACTACACGTTCTGTACATGAGGCCTCACCATCATCTGATTAAATCTCTGTCTCCGTTTGAAAAGGGCAGAAGCAGCATGTGCATTCCACCAGTAGCCTCTCATTTGAGGAATGTGGTGCACGCTTCCCCCAATGCCTTTCAATTACAAGACATTATCCAATCTTTTGCGTTCCTGAAAACGAGCCTGTTTCCCAATAACTAGGTAGGCTGTCCAACATAACTTTAAAGTTTAAGCGAATAATAAGGAGCATGCAAGGGCACGCACGGTGACATCCAGAGGATACAGAGGGAGTAAAAGTTTGTATTCCTCCAGTCTACATCAGTGAACGCCCAGAGGACTGCCAGTTCTCTGAAACGCTCACTCTCTTTAACATCCAGCAATACTTCTGGGATGCCTGCGCCTGCAACAGCTGAATGTATTATTTCCCCCCCATGGACGTGCTTGAAGCAGAACATTTTTAAATACAGTAGAGCCCATGGCTGCAATGCACAGCGTGATGCGGCAGAGCAGAGGTACAGCTGCAAGTGCTTCTGTCAAATTGGATAGTGGCATGAATGGGGATGGGGAAAATAAAGTTGCTTTACTTCTAGGAAGCAAGAAAAGGGCATCCTCCAACCTTGGTCGTGTTTCGTGGGCTAACCATATTGACTTGAATAAAATGTTCTAGCTAAGATTAGTCAAATGAGACCAGAATGAAGCAGCATATTTGCCTCTGAGAACCAAACTATCAGTCTAGAGTGTGAGTGTGTGTGTTGTATGTGGATTAGTATAGGTGTGAGGGAATGGTTAAGTGGGACTTTATCCTCTACGGTATGTGCTGTACCTTCTCTCTTCATGCCCATGGCTAGACACTTCTGGTAGCGGCAGTACTGACAGCGGTTCCTCTGGCGTTTATCAATGACACAGTGTTTGCTGTCGCGACAGGTGTAGGACAGGTCTTTGCGCACCGTCCTTTTGAAAAAACCTTTGCAGCCTTCACAGCTGTACACGCCGTAGTGTTTACCTGAGGACAGAAAGAGACACAGGTGGTTTGTCCAATGCATATAGAAATGTTTTCAAGCCTAGTTCATGTGAGAACTACAAATCTTTACAGTCCAAGATAAAGCAACGGCATAGAAGAACCCTCTTTTTAGGAAGCAAAACTGATAGGCATGACTTTGGTATTTAAGTCGCATTGGGTAAAATCTTCAACTAAATGACATTTATAATAATGTAATCATGAGGTTAGTGTAGATCAGGGGTGCCCACACTCTTTCAGCTTGGGAGCTACTTTTAAAATGACCAAGCCCAAATGATCTACATACGCCCCTGCCCAATCTGTGTCGCGGGGGGGGTGGGGGTGCTAGTGGACTAAACGTAGGATAAACTGTGGCGCGCTTACAATAAAGCGCATAATAGTGCGCCGCATTTGCGCTTCAGATGAGGTGGTGAGGTCCCCTCATGACTGCGTGAACCCGTATGGCACAATACAACTCAGACTGGCTTACCTGTACGTTAATCAAGTGGCAAATGCCATAGTAAGGATGGATGATAGGCTAACTTTAAAAAAAACACTACACTACCTTCGCGATCGACGTATTGGGCACCCCTGGTGTAGATGGTGCATTAGCATCAGTTATCAGAATTGTAGAGTCTCTATAAAGCGGCGGCTTGGGCTCAGGGGGTAAATTGGCATCCGTCATTCAGAGTGCAATGGCTTGATCCCCAGACCCAGCAGTCAATATTTCCAAGTGTCCTTGGGCAAGATACTTAATCCAAAATTGCTCCTGCAGATATGAAGTCTACACTATTGAAGTGTATGTAAGTTACTTGTGGTAAGAGCATCAGCTAAATGACATATCACGTAATGTAAAAGAGTGTTTGCGCAGGGTTATGCCGAGGTGACTAGGGTAAACATGATAGGGCCTACAGGAGGTCAGCTGCAAGGAGGGCCCTCATGGATTGGCGTTACGGTGCTTTTCTCATGTTGTGGTACAGGACAAATCGTCTCTTTCCCCTGTTCTTAACAGCTCTTTTTTGTTGTATATGATGGATTGAGTCCTTTGAATTCCCCAGGGTTGCTCAAACTGTTTCTTTGTTAGCTGCTCTGACCACCAGAGAAGATAAATAAAGCCTCAGCACACAGTTAAATGAAGCATGACTCGCTATTAAACATTGTTTTGATTTCCCCCCTTTGGTTGCATGGGGGCGATGACGCAGGATGACACTGAAACTGTCCGATGAATTAGACATCCAGCTTCAGCCTGGGGGGTGAAAAACCTTCCCCCTACACAGCCCTTCTCTATTTGAGCGTAGGTTTCATCAGACCGTACAATCTATTGCATGTCTCATGATGTCGGTTTCTTTCATGTGCCTTTACGCTGATGCATCATAAGCAGGAGTGGCTTCTTTGCTTGTCATTTAGCCCAGATGTATGAAGAATTCCAATGATTGTTGTCCTTCCAGGAAAGATCTCCCACTGCAAGAAGCTGCAGAGTGTAGTTCTGCCAGAGCGGTCCACAGGGCTGGTCTCTGACCAAAGTTCATCCTTGGATCTTCTTCCGAGGTTTCTCATCGTGGTCGGAGCAACAGCTTTGGTAAAACGCTGGGTAGTCCCCATTTCATGTGTAATCCCAGCTGTCGAAAAAGTATTTGTATACCTTTGCCAACAATTCTTCCTTAGATTATACATTAAACTCCAAGGTATTCCTGGTAAGGCTTTGAATCATGTGCTTTTTTAACTGGCATCTGCAATCAATGTCACTTGATTCATTCTAACATTAATATATTCATAAGAATGGAATACAACAAGAATCACAAGAAATCTTTCATTTTTTTACCCATTAAAACCATAAAAGAAAAACCTAATAAAGTTTATTTTTTTCTTTCAATACATTTAACTTTTTACCCCAAAACCTTTTTACTTGTTGTTTACAAGCCTATACATGTCCTGCTCCAAATACACAAACACATTTATTCACAAAGTATACATAAAGCAAGATAAAGGAACATGTATTATCAAATCATATATTTATATCTAAATAATAATTAAGAATACAACAATTAAATAAAGTTAATAATTTAACTTGTAAAATGTATATTAATAAATCACATTAAAGGGGATAATAACATCAAAAAGCTGATTGCAAGACAGTGATGGATAAAGGAGTCTCAGATATGTCCTTATAATATAAAAAAATATAAAGCGTCTTTGGGTTCAAGAAAAGCGCTATAGAAATAAAATATATTATTATTATTATTAATATCATCAAGTGAACACTTTACTTTAAATATTGACTTTTTTTGTATCGTGTGCTTTTTCCTGTATACGTGGTCATTGACTCCCATCACTCACCTGAGGAGCGGTCCCCACAGATGGCGCAGATGTGTTTGGTGAGCGACAGGATGGTGCCTGAGGGCTGGGCGGGAACCTTCATCACGCCGTTGAGGCCCAGCGGGGGCTTGATGTCCTCCGAGCTGCTGACCGAGTTCATCGGAGAGTTTAGCTGGAACATCAACACACACAAACACACGCCGACAGGTCACAAAGCAGTACGCGATGAACTCATCACAGGTGACATCATACAGCCTGTTAGCCAAGCCCTTCATAAAGTACGGGTCATTTTGGACAATGTCTCCCACCTACTCATTGATATGCTGGTTAGGTCAAAGAGAAGCTATGAGACCAATTCCACCAAGAGTGCCACAGGAAGTTGTTCCTGCCTGTGGCATCAGACACAACTCCTGAGGCGTCAGGCCCTTTGAGGTAATGTCTGACAGAAAAATGTATGTTCCGTTGAATTTGTATGTTACTGTAAATAAAGCAACTGTAACCAAACCCTATTGCCCCCTCTGGGAACAAACAATAAAAGGATTATGAATATGATTTGGATAACGTAGCTTAGCTAACTGATGACATTATCTGTTGAATAAGCGCCAGGTCAGCTGAGTTGAAAGAAGTGGTTTGTTTACACCAGGGATGTCCAAACTATGGCCCGGGGGCCCATTTTGAAACGGCCCTCAGCTAATTCAAATAGTATAATGAAATATGTCCCCCAAATTCAACTTGTGCTTGTCATATATGTACTAATTAAATATGTACATATATCACAGTATTCATGTGTGCCTACTTTACAAATACATTCAATCAATTAAAGTTGGAAACATTTTCAAACTAATCTTAGTTGATATAAAAAGGCCAATGACTTATTTGCATTACACATTTTTATAAGCAATCTGAAGCTTCTGTTTTAAGGCATGAGCTGCAAACTAAATCAATGAAACCCTATGGAGAGCTGTGATGAAGGCTGTTGTGTTTCTTACAGCATTTTGAAGTATCAAGCTTAATTTACCTACATTGGATTGATTTTGCTAACTTATAACTTAGCATATGAGGCAATATACCTCACCTCTAGTGAGTAGCCCTTCATATATTTCTCTGCATGTGGCCCTCGGTGAAAAACGTTTGGACACCCTGGTTCACACATACTACATCTAAGTGAAGGCACGTCATGCACATTATCATGAATGATTTTCAAAATGTAGAAAGTGAAAATTGTATTTGACTTCTCATTCTTAATACAGATGGTCAGCATTCCCAGCAGCTATTTTGCCCTCTTTCATTGCTGCCTCTGCCTCTTTCCTCCCTCAGTTTCAGATCTAAATCTGGCACAGCAGGATCCTGCACCACTCCACCCCAGGAACTCTTTTATTCATGCTCTCTACAAGCCCCGCCAGGCTCCCAAATGTTCAGCGCTAGCATAACTCCACTGCAAAATGTAGCAGCAGTGCAGCGGAATAAAGAGACAGCATTTGTTTAAGTAGTGGTGCAACTGCAGCCTGCACTTCAATCACTGGCTCCCCTTCCCTCACTGAAAACAAAGCGCTTACATTAAATATAGTGACCTCTCTTTGCTAAAAAGCATAGAGAAAAGGGAGGGTAATTATTATAACTAGCGCCATACTGTTTTGCAGAGCAGATAAACGTTGTTGGGGCAGGATATAAATGATCCTGGAACACTAAATATACTGGATGGAAAAAGAGCTATGGAGCTAAAGACGAGCAGCAAAGTTTGGGAAAGTAAAAGCACCAGTTTGCTAAAACGAAATTACACTGGGGGGAAAAGGGGAGATAAAAAGGAATGTATTCAGACAAGTGTATTCTACAAAAAACACAGCTACAGCAGGAGTTGAAGGGTAGCCACTTGAGCTCATGTAGTGAAACGTTTTTCATTTTTATTACCACGTTTGTCTAATAGCAAGCAAATAAGTCTCCGCTCTAAATTTAGCACTTATCTCTCTGCTGAAACATTTTGTTTTTATGATGAAGTCTAAAATAGTTTGTCGTCTTCAGCTGTGTTTACGGGGATCTGACAGAGTTAGCTACAAAGTAGAAGAACACAGATGTATATACATCACTTTCACAAACATACGGTATATAAACCAAACAGCCAAGCAGCACTTATGGATGTTGATGATGTGGCTCCAAATGTCTGCAATGAGTATATGTATTTATCATCTCTGTGGCTGTAACAATGATTCCTTTTCATAACAGAGTATTCTACAGATCATACATACGGTTACCTCGCAAATGAGGTGATGTTCTATTTGTCTGTAAGCAGGATTACGGAAAAACTGCTGGCCTGATTATCATGAAACTTGGTAAAAAGGTGAAGAAATGGGTAATGAATTCATGGATTCGCAGGGTCGAAACACTTTTTATTTTCCACATATGGAACGGCCTTGGTACATGTCTGGGGTCTGCGACTGACTTTCTAACTTATCAAGCGATCCCAGACAAATACTTGTATTATTTGTTTATAAAGTTTCGGGAACAAAAATTAAAGTCGGAGATCCAAATCCAGTCAAGCTCCCGACAATGCTGGATTCTACACTTTCCCACAATGCAATTCATCCGCATCTTTGGTTGAGTCATTCCTTATTTACGTGACACAGATCCTCCAAAGCCACAGAGAAGCATTTACTGTTTATGCAGTACATACACATATGCATTCACCTAAACAGAAGCCACATGGCTGTGCATGCACACATTCGTGCACACCATACACTGGGGAAATGTGGCTCCTGGTTTTTCATTTCACCTTACTCTGACAAAATATCAGCATATACATTGTTGCTTGAAGCTGAGATACACAGTGGTTACAGTGTTTGAAATATTCCAAGCCATGGCGCTTTCTCATCAAAAAGAAACTTCTAGATGTCTTCTGCATCGTTTTGTACATTTCCCACGTAATTCAGCATGACATTATGTGCTGTCACGGGAACTTGACTTCAAAAACTGACCAGAATTCCGAATATAAAGCTTATGTGGGTTTGGATGCATTTGACTGATGGATCCAATGGTGGGATCAAAAGGGTTAAGGTAAGCCCTCCGCTACATGAAAATGTCCAATTCAAACCTGACACCCACACCAGGTCTGCTCTTTACCAGGTTTGTACAAATACACACTGAATGTAATGCAACACACGAATACAAAGCTTAGGGAACAAATATTTTGGGGATTGTATTCAGTGGTACTTTACGATGTCATTAATTCCAAAGGAAAAAAGATAATCCTTTGGAGAAAATCTAACAAGTGACCAAAGTTTATATTGTAGTGATACTAAATGTGTCAGTTAAACTACCATACATTATTAATATTAATATATGTTTGCAAAATACTGTCTTGTGCTAAAAAAGCCTTTCTTTCTCACAAGGAATAGGAAGATTTGTGGAAGCTTCGCCAAGTAACAAAAGCACCCGAAAAGAAAAGCTGCATCGTTTGTTTGGAATGAGCTTTGGCATCATGTGCACACACCCACATATCTGCACGATGACACACAGTGTAACAACCGGTGTTTATGTGACCGGTAGTCCTGACTGGCACCCCAAAGAACCTAAATAAGTAAACTGTCACCACACACACACACACACACACACACACACACACACACACACACACACACACACACACACACACACACACACACACACACACACACACACACACACACACACACACACACACACACACACACACACACACACACACACACCACACACACACACACCACACACACACACACACACACACACACACCACACACACACACACACACACACACACACACCACACACACACACACACACCACACACACACACCACACACACACCACACACACACACACACACACACACACACACACACACACACACACATCACACACACACACACACACACACACACACACACACACACACACACACACACGTTCTTACCTCAGTTAAACGTCTGAGTCTAGTCTTTTCCCCGTGCAGCGCTAACAGAGCTGTCTCCTTTTGCTGCTATCGTCTCTATCAAACCCCTCTTGTCTGCCTGACAGAAAATACTCTTCCGCTCACAATCTATTTTCAGTAAACCTGCAACTCAATCTCAGATACATGGCTCCCCACAGTGGGGTGGGCATGCTTTGGGGGGGGCTTTTCTTTCTCTTCTGCCCCATGGCAATGGAGTCAAGGCAGGGGGGATTAGAGTGGATCATGACTGGGATTGGAAATAGAATACATGTGCCCTCCCCTCCAACACATACATGTGATCCTTGACAGGGAGACATGGCAGCTGTGTGTACAGCCTCATTGTCTTGGGAAACCTCAAGACAATCCTCTGACTATATACTGTATGTTGAGGAGGAGAAGAAACTGTTTCACACTGAGGGAGGGAAACAAACGAGGGGCATTTATCATCAAGCACTGGAAATGTAGGACATAAGATTCCCTGCAGTACACTGTACAACACGCTCCAGCTGAATAACATATTCATGTGCTGCGGGTGTTACGCAACATGTTGTGGAGGACATTCGATTGGTACATGCAGTACAGTGGGACTCTGTGTCTGCTCGCGGGTGTCAGATTCCACACAGAATTGATACATGTGATTATGTGTCCTGTGCCACCTGCTGGCGTCTGCGCAAGGCCGCAATTGTCAGACATGTAAAAAGGCGATTAAGAAATTCTCCCTCGGAGGGCATGGTAGCCCTGAAGGGCTGATGGTAAAGATAACAGTTTTCAGACGTTGTGAGTGGGTGCATTGATAAATGGATTCACTCTGAATAGAATGCTTAAAGTGAGATATATATAGTTTATATAGCATACTGTATTTATATTCTCTGAGCAGCACTGCATTAATGAAAGAACACATGTTTTAGTTTCTTTAGAACTCAGAAAACAATAAGCCTTTTTTGGGTTTAGTCCAAAAACCCTAAGATATTTAATAAACTGTAAGATAAGAGATTCAAAAAGCAGAAACTACTCATATTTGAGAAACTGGAACCAGCATATTCTAACAAAAAATATTATATAATAATATATGGCTGCTTTTCAATTCCTGTCCATAAATTAATTGATTTATATTTGTATCACTCATTTATAGTAAAACCATAGGTTACAACAACAACTAAAAAACAAGGTGTTTCATTACAAAACCTTAATAGACGTCAATCAGCAAACTATCATAA